TGGGGTGGGTGCTGCTGACATCAGCCTTATCCAGTTAAGACCAGAGGACAGAGCAGGCCTCTCTCAGGTCACAGAGAAGGGGAAGGCCTCAGGGGAGGTGGCAGCTTCCGGGCCCGCCATTCCCCTTGGCACCCTGGGCTCCATTTTAACAGATACCATAATTTTTAATTAGTTTTCTCTTCCCCTGGCTAAAAGGCCATTAGCTCCCCATTAGGTGGATGCATCCCATTTTCTTCACACCACCAAGGAAACAGTGATTTACTTAGCTATCCCTAAAGCAATTCTGCAGAATAAAGGCAATTTAGCAACGGGCTCAATAAACTTCCCCATTTGTTCAGTTTGTAGGCCCCACCCTTAGGAGCCCACCAGCTAGCCCATCCCCTGTGGCCTTGTGTTAGGCTAGGCTCTGTTGGAGCCCAGGGCAGGCAGTGTGGGATGCAAGCAGCCCCCAGGGGTCAGAGGGGCTTAGTAGGGACACAGGCTAGGGTGGAGGAGAAAAAGGGCTGGGCCCAGGTGAGCTGGTGAAGCAGGACTTGTCTTCCACCAGTCCCTGGCCAAAGAGAGGAAGGGGCCAAAAGAAAGTAAGAAGTAGGTGGGGCAGCTTTCCCAGCAGGGGCTGCCTGGACATCTGCTGGTCCAGGCATAAGTGGCCCGCTCAGGCCACACTGCAGAGGGTGGGTCTGGCATCCTGGGAGGGAACCTGCCAAGTCATGGCAAATCTTCCCTTCTTTGGTGCCAGGAATGAAAGTCCCGGAGGTCTGCAGGGAAAGAGGGCAGGTCCTTCCTTGAAGCCACAGGTGCTGAGCAAAATGGGAGCCAAGAAGCCAGGCCAGGAAGACAAGAGTTGGGAGGCCTGCGGAGGAACTGCAGGAGTCAGGGAAATGGTGCTGGGTGAGGTGTCAGCCTGGGAGAAACGTAGAGTCCCAGAGCTGGGACTCAAATGGCCCACCCATGCCACAAGGGTGGCTGTGTCTGTGCTGAGCAGCAAAATGCCAAAAACTCTTCTAAGAATAAGTCTTGGATGAAAGGTCCCCAGCTCTGGTTCTAGGATCCCTGGGGCTGATGGGCTGTGTCCTTGAGTGTATGAGGGGGTGAAGGGCAGGGGTCCCTATGTATATACATGGGGACCTAATATGTCTGAGTGGCAGGGAAAGGGGCTGGGTTCCCTGGGTGAGGGTGGAGTATTGGGGGGGGGTCAAGCCACACTCATTGTGGGAGTGTGTGTCCACAGGTGTCATGATTACACATCCTTGCGCAAGGGCAGGAGTGTGTCTTGTGATGACGAGCTATGAGTATGAGTGAGTGTGTGTGTGTGGGGGGAGAGATCCTGTGTGTGTGTGTGTGTGAGAGAGAGGGGAACCCTGTGTGTCTGTGTGTGTGTGTGTGTGAAAGAGAGAGAGAGAGAGACATGGAGATCGGTGTGTGAGAGAAGGAGAGAGACCCTGTGTGTGTGAGAGAGGGAGAGAGACAGAGAGAGAAACCCTGTGTGTGTGTGTGTGTGTGTGACGGGGAGACCCTGTGTGTGTGAGAGAGGTGGGGAGACCCTGTGTGTGTGAGAGAGAGGGAGAGGGAGGGAGAGATTCTGTGTGTGTGTGTGAGAGAGAGACACTATGTAGGAGAGAGAGAGAGGGAGAGATCCTGTGTGTGTCTGTGTGAGAGAGAGAGAGAGGGAGATCCTGTGTGCGTATGTGAGAGAGAGAGAGGGAAAGGGAGAGATTCCGTGTGTGTGTGTGTGAGAGAGAGAGGGGAACCGTGTGTATGTGTGTGTGTGATAGAAAGAGACCTGTGTGTGTGTATGTGACAGAGAGAGAGAGACCCTGTGTGTGTGAGAGAGAGGGAGAGGGAAGGAGAGATTCTGTGTGTGTGTGAGAGAGAGGGAGAGATTCTGTGTGTGTGTGTGTGAGAGAGGGAGAGATCCTGTGTGTGTGTGTGAGAGAGAGAGGGAGATCCTATGTGCGCATGTGAGAGAGAGAGAGGGAGAGGAAGGGAGAGATTCCGTGTGTGTGTGTGTGTGAGAGAGACCGTGTGTGAGAGAGACCCTGTGTGTGTGGGAGAAAGAGGGAGAGACCCTGTGTGTGTGTGTGTGCGCACGTGCATGTGGGCGCCCACACATGGATACCATGATGTGGGAGAGTCTGTGTCGGTACCTTTTTTCTGAAGGTGTATGTGGTCACACACTATGACAGTGTGCACACATGGAGAGGGAATAAACTGCAGGCGTCTGTTTATGTCCCATGGCCTTGTTCTCGGCATCCCTGTCCCCACCTTCCTGGCCAGCTCTGAAGCAGCAGGGCTCCTTCCTCTGCGCTCTGGCCTAGGCCCCTGCCTCTTCA